CATCGGAGCCCGGAATACACTCAGACATCTTTTTAAAGAGATTAATATACTCACTGTTGCGTCTCAATATATTTATTGTAATATTTTGTATGTTAAACAGAATATTAATAATTATCAAAAGAATAGTGACAGACATAAACTAAATACTAGAAATAAGGACAAACTAACTACGCCATTATTTCGCCTACAAAAAGTAAACAGATCGTTCATGGGGCAAAGTGTGCGCATGTATAATAAAATCCCACAGTCGATGTTAAGTCTGCCACTTGATGAATTTAAACGAAAAATTAAAAGTACACTTATGGCTAAAGCCTATTATACTATTGCCGAATATCTTGACGACGCCAATGTGTGGGGTTAATACTGTTGATACTCACGTAGGCTAAAACAAGACTATTGTACATGTACTATTATATTGTAAACTGATTTTTTTAAAAAGAGCAACTGTTGAGTTTCTTGCCGGTTTCCTTTTCTTCTCAACAGAAACTGCTTTCCGAACCGGTGGTACCTTACGAACGTGTTAATTTCTTGTAAAATTTTGACGTTTCATAAGAACGCGCAAGCGTCTATGTGAATAAAGATATTTTTATTATTATTATTATAATAAATAAAATAAAATTCTATGCGCAGGCAACCTAGGCCCGAAAGTCTGCCGTAGCGATTCCATAGCTGCTTGCCATGTCGGGGTGCTGTCTTTGACGCCCTGCCACCAAGTAGCGGCCAATCCCGTCAGTAACATAGGCAAACCTTGCAGCGCGACATCGTCGCTCATATTGACGCACGACGACTTGTACACCTCGATAGCATCTATGAATGCTAATACATCGCTGGTTTTTAGTCCATCGAAACGTGTAGAGCACTTCGCAAAGTTGCCGGACATATGTGTAGGAGTACTTACAGGAACTGCGGGACTTAGCCTGTTTATCAACAGCAGCAGCTGCTCTGTGGTCATGGTGATTGAAGCCGCAGCAGGATTTGCAGCTGGCGGCAGCGGCAGGGCGTGACCCTGATCCGCAATAACAGCGTCACTGTCACTCGATACAGCCGGTGGTGGCGCCGGCGCGGCCTCCAGGTCGCGCGGCGTCGACTCCGGCGCGCTCTCTGCCGGGAACAACGGCGGCACTACGCCCTCAGGCGAAACGCCAGCCGCGGCAGATGCGGGACTCGCGGCACGTGATCGCGTTAACACCATGATGTAACACAGTCAATCACAGGTCACAGTTCTTGGACAAAAGTACTTTATCGTAACTTACAGTTAGTCGGTATACACGTAAGTATACAAAATAGTTCACACATAACAAAATATATTTTCTTTTGAGTTAACCGAGTCCATAAAACTAACACGAGAGATAACACTAAAAGTTTAAGCAATAATTGTTATTTGTTTCCATTAAAATCGAACTTTCGGCGAATGACGCAACAGTGTTAAATACTACACAATAACTATACGCGCGCGGATGACGCAATAGTCGTTTACACACACGAAAACAAAAGAAATTACGACCATCCCAATTTGTCACCTAGGTATAGGTACAGTATACCCGAAGTAATACCTAGCAACAGTTACAACGCACGTCGAAATATGTTTCGAAAAAGTACACTGCACTACACGAAAACACAGTTAATAACTGTTGAAATTTAAACTAAACTGTTTATAATAACAAAATTTAAACTGAACTGTTTATGCTCCACGTTGGGTTGCCACTTTTAGTATGAATAAAACGTCATTTAATGTAGACATCGTAAAGATCATCGATAGATTAACAATAATGGTATATGGTATAATATAATATCCCGAACGTCTCATGTGTAATATTTTATAATAAAACAATAACATACTATGCGTTCTTTAAGTGAAAACGATCCATATATATAAATAGGTAGCTCATACAAATAATAGTATTTTATTAATATTATATGTATTACGTTTGTTTGCTTAAGAGGTGTATTAAATTAAAACTTTATTAAAAATTATTTTATACCTTTTAGTTTTTGAAGTCTGTATTTTTTTAAAGTAGTTTTTATTGTTTACTTTTTAGTGTCTGTAATAGTTTATTCTATAAACTAAAAGAAAAATCTGGATCCCTAATTAGCCGAGAGCGAGCGGGGGGGGTGGGTACTGGAACTCCGGCTTGGATTGGCTGGGGCCAACCGCCATGGAAACCGACGAGGACTCGGACCGGCCAGTGTTCATGCCAAGGAAGTCGCTGGCACGTATACCTCCTCGCAGTCATGAGGAGGTCACCAAGACAAGTGCCTGTACTTCAGGAGGCTTAAAGCGGACCCTGCAGTCACCGGAGGAAGTTGGTACGGCCCTGCAAAAACCGAGAATGGAGCTGCGAATGTGCCGCCCTACTACCCCCCGGCTCCCACCCCCCCTATTGGTGCGACATCCTCTGGCGGAGCACCAATTCCGGACACACAGGGCACGCATGGTCAGGCATTGGACACGGGGTTGGAGAAAAGCTCCAAAATGGAGCTCTTGAACATGGCGCGAAACAACATGCAGGCAATTATGGGTATTGTTACTGGACCCCAGTTGAGGTTAAACAAAAACGACACCAATGCTGTGGTAGCGCATATACACGAGGTTCTGGCGGTATTTGCTGCCTTGAATATCAGATTAAGTAATGTTGGGGAAGTAATTAAGGCCCGTTCCTAGTCAACAATTATTTATTTGCATCGGCCGCAGGTATTGTCACTAATTTACTTCCTGATTCGGCAGGCCTTTCAGACACGATGGGAAAAGGAGCTATGTGGAAGCAAAAACAGAAGCTATAGTCACAATAATGATCTGTAGCTTAGTCAGAACAGAGTTATAACAAATATTAACAAGCAATTAATTAAAACTATTAGCCTATTAAAGCATAGCAATAAGCTGTAAATATTTTATTACAATGTGAAGATAACATATAACATACCAACAACCAAATATCCAAGACATATCACAATACAGCCATCACAACGTACAATCATAAATTGCTTAAATAAATTGTGTAATTTTTTCACTAAATAAATAACATTAAATAAGTTAAGCTTTACTTTTAAATAATTATATATTTTTAAGTGTTTCTTTTTTAATCTTTTTGTTATACAATTGTATTTACTAATTGTAACATAATAGTAGCAGCAGATTTTCTGATTATATCATATATTGTTGCTGTTTTTAACCCTTAGTACCCGGAAGACCGAGCTTTGCTCGGTTTGTTTTATTTTTTTGGTAAATCGTGTATTTTGGAAATTACATTTAGATACAAATTACTGAGAAATGATATGCATAATATTTTTCGATCTTACCGACGTAATAATAAGAAAATATGAACTGATGTTTTTCACAAAAGAAAGTACTTAAAAAAAAGGTGGAAAAAATAACAAAATAACAAATCGACAAAAAATTAAAAATAAAGAAAGCAATGATCTGGAATCGAAAAAAAAGTAAAAAAATAAATGTGTAAATGATCGTGACGCGAACCACGGCCGTCTGTTTTGGGGCCGCCCGATTACCGACCGAGCTATTTTGACATTTTCGCTTGCGGCGAAACTTACCATCATATTCGAATTATATTTTTCATTCCCTGAAAACAGGGATAAAAAGACATTTTCTAAAAATGAAACCTAGCTAGATCGATTTTTCGCCCCCGAATCTATGCACATACTAAATTTCATGAAAATCGCTGGAGCCGTTTCCGAGATTCCGATTATATATATATACAAGAATTGCTCGTTTAAAGGATAAGATAAAATGAAATAAAAATACACAATGCTGTGGTGCCACTTGGTACTTGTGTTGTAAGAAGAGTACTACATACTAACATACTGGATACAAATTAGCAAATTATAAAAGCTACACAAATGTAATTATAAAACAATATATAACATTATAAATTATAAAACATAATTTTTTTCATCTCAGGCGGTCATTATAATGGATATATCGCTATGTTAATGTTACGTACTTTAAGAGTTCAAGAAGAACACATTACATAACAAACAGAATAATTAATAATATTAATTAATAATACGACGACCCGAATGGCGTAGTGGGTAATGTACCTGCCTCTGCCACACACTAATTTCAATAGACAATGATAGGCAGTGTTAAATGAGTTACCTAAGTGGTCGAGCTTGTCTAATTGAATTGACAGGCTCACTGTGTATCTACCTATGCTGTCACATGTGGCAGTGGATGTGTATACATTTTCACAATACTTAACATAAGGAGAGAGAGGCTTCTTGGTAGGTTGTGTCGCTTCTTGATTCCAGAATGATTAGAGTATGACATTGATGATAAATGCATGCTAATATATGCATTAGTGTAATGTGTACACTCCTTAATATTTGGTAGGAATGAACCTAACACCAAGGAAGTGTGTACCCAGCTTTATGCAGCCTTATAGCAATATAGTGTAGAATAATTCAGAACCTGTCAGTAAATAAATTATACTTGGTATGAAAAAAGTAGGGCAGCAAGAGTGCATAGTTGTTTTATAGAAATATTCCATGTGTTAGTATGTATGAAGTTCTGTGGTAGGGGCAAAGCAATATTCCATAACCATAAATGTGAGATCAGCTTTAAAATTATTATAACAAGAAGAAATGCTAGTTGTATGGTACCTTGCAATTTCTTTACACTGTTACCAACCCCATGAATGGTATAGGCATCATCCTTTATGCCTTCTCCTATATTCCCAACTTGTAATAAAGAGGCTAGTCTGTGGGACACAATATTAACCTCGCTGCCAGCGTCTAGAAGAGCTTGTACACTTATCCATCTGCCTGAAGCATCTTGAATCTGGATGATGGCTGTGGAAAGCAGTATTTGTTGCTGATTAGTATCAGACATTAGCAATGGGTGTGATGTATTTTGTTGTAGCTGCTGCATGTTGTAGGAATAAGTATGGTTTGTGATGAAGCTGTGAGCCATGTAGTTGCGATTGAGCTTGAAGCTTTTGTGATAGAGCTGTGGTTGCATATAGTTGCGATTTAGCTTGAAGCATTTGTGGTAGCAATTGAGTGGTAGGAACATGCAATTGTGCTTGAGAACACTTTGTCATTAGTGTGGGTAGGCACACCTATAAAAAAAATATTATTTGTAGCTAGAGATTGAGACGGCATAATATTTGGTTGTATTTTTGTATTGAGTTTGATAACTATAGAGTTAAGTTGAAGCATAACTTACCCTTTGTTGTGGGTTTAAATGTATACTTGTTTGATGCCTTCCCCCCGCAAGTTAGGCACTTATATTTAAAACACTTATGTTGTGCTTTGTAAGGCTGTAAACAGTTAAAACACAATGATTTACTTCTTATGTGACTTATGCAGTTGTTAACAGATAGTTCTAGATAATTAAGACATTTGTGCTGTAAATAATGATTACCCTGGCATAGTGAAGTTTTCACATTAGACCTATCTATAGTTTTATCATTATTTAACATTTCAAAAGCAGTCCTTCATCCATTCAAAAACTCAGCAATTCAGACATAGCGGGAATAGAATTCTCCTTATGGTTAAGTTCCCATGCAGCATGCGAAATGTCCAATTTTTGACATATTAAAAATACTAAATATAAAATAAATGTAATATTGGTAAAGTTCAATCACTTTCAGGTGAAATCTCACAATTATAGTTTGATTTTCGTACCTATTGGATAAGATTTCCAAAGCCTTAGAGTAGTTATCTTCTGATATATGTAGCGAAGAGACTAGACCAACAGCTTCACCCACCAGTGAAGGCTTTAGGCACTGTAGGCACTTTCCCTGGTTGACTGTCGACATGAAGATTGCTTTGAAAGCCGGCCATTACTGTAGATCACCTCCAAACCTTGGGACCTCCAACTGGGGTAATTTTTCACACGGCTTTTCATACTCTGACTATCTTATCGAATCCTAGGCTAAAAGGGCGTCCATTTGTGATGCTGTAGTGAAGTATTTGCCTCAAATTCTTCCCTTACATTTTCGAGGGCTTCTCTTTTCTCGGGTAACTCAGAATCTAATGCCTCGATCGTTGATTTAATTTCATCAAAACTAGTGAATATTTTCTCCAATTCCGTATGTCATGCTTAGATTTCAGACAAAGTGTTAGTTTTCTCATCAAAACTCTTAAGGAAGTTAGCTATTCTTGTGAGTTTTCCCTTGATGGTCGCGCGTTTTGATTTGTAAAATACTTGCGATGCCGCCATTTTGAGCTTCGTGGCGACTCGGACACAGAAATTCATAGGAGTGTTATTAGTAGCACACCATAAACTTCCATCGATAAAACCCCCAGGTGACCGCTAACTGCCTTAGAAGAAGAAAACCCACAGGTTTATGTTCAACAACTTGTTAGAAACGCTAATAATTTAAGTATCGCTAATAATTTAACTGAAGGATGAATAGGTTTATTTTCCGTTTAATCTCACACATTTTCTTTGTAGAAATGTAGATGAAGTTGAACTTGAAGTCACTAGTACACGCCACGGTGAACGAATGATAAAAAAGTAAGTAAAACCTTCCGATTGTTTGGCGTGTTTGCCTTGTGACGATGATTGGTCGTGGTAACTATCCGGTCGATAAAATAGTACCGCTGCTCGATAGATTTGGCATGTGCGCCGTAGAACAATAGATGTCGCTGTTGCGAAAAATTGAATATTCTATTAAATTGATTCTTCCCGCCGGCAGAGGGCAGCACCACAGGAACGAACGATGAGTGATCTGTCGTATGATTCTACGAACTAAATTGTTCACAAAACAGGCGACGCGTCGATATTCGATAACAAAATGGCGATCTTGAAACACGAAGCAGAATTTTTAAAAACTAGAAGGACCAAAAACAATGTTAATGATTGAACTAATTGATTTATGAGGGGTTCGGAATGGATTATCCAAAGTCACTGATTCACAATTTAGCACGTTTATTGCACTAAAGCTTATTCACCTAACTCCTAAAAAATATTCCCGTAAAAATATACCTTCCAAAAACTTCCATTCCACATTTTTTATTCCTAAATTTAGGAAGAAAATTCCTAAGTTGGAAAATTCCTAGTTGGTTGGTTGCCCAGGGACTCTCACTTGATTAAATAACTTATTTTCATATATCTAAGGATCAGATTGTCCCTATACGTAAAGGAAAATACTTTCAAAGTATTTTACGTCTTCATTGGAATATTTTGAATCTTATGTGTACGGCAACAAGGTTTAAATTTTCGTGAAGTAAAATACTTTTAAAGTATTTTACGTTTTGATTGTAATATTTTGAATCGTATTAATACAGCAACAAGGTTTAAAGTTGCAAGGAAACAAGTATTCGACTCGTTACGTTGAACAGAAAATACTTTGAAAGTATTTTGATACCTGGTTTCTGTACCTGGTATGAGAAGGTGGAAGTACTTTTAAGACCTGGTACTCGATTTAGTAAGTATAATCCATCTCTAATATAGAGCACATATTGAATGGTCGAGTCCTGGACTGAAGAGAGAGAGCGAACGTAAAGAACATAGCACCTGGAG